ATATATAAACAGCTCATGCAGCTCAATATTAGAAAAACAAACAACCCAATTCAAAAATGGGCAGAAGACCTAAATAGACATTTCTCCAAAGAAGACATATAGATGGCCAAGAAGCACACAAAAAGCTGCTCAACATCACTAATTATTAGAGAAATGCAAATCAAAACTACAGTGAGGTATCACCTTACACCACTTAGAATGGGCACCATCAGAAAATCTACGAACAACAAATGCTGGAGAGGGTGTGGAGAAAAGGGAATCCTCTTGCACTGTTGGTGGGAATGTAAATTGATACAGCCACTATGGAGAACATTATGGAGGTTCCTTAAAAAACTAAAAATAGAATTACCATGTGACCCAGCAATCCCACTACTGGGCATATACCCAGAGAAAACCATAATTCAAAAAGACACATGTGGGCTTCCCTGGTGGCGCAGTGATTGAGAGTCCGTCTGCCGATGCAGCGGACGCGGGTTCGTGCCCCAGTCCAGGAGGATCCCACATGCTGCAGAGCAGCTGGGCCCGTAAGCCATGGCCGCTGAGCCTGCGCGTCCAGAGCCTCTGCTCCACAACAGGAGAGGCCACAACAGTGAGAGGCCCGTGTACCACAAAAAAAAAAAAAAAAAAAGACACATGCACCCTGATGTTCATTGTAGCACTATTTACAATAGCCAGGTCATGGAAGCAACCTAAATGCCCACTGACAGTCGAATGGATAAAGAAGATGTGGTACATACATATAATGGAATATTATTCAGCCATAAAAAGGAATGAAATTGGGTCATTTGTAGAGACATGGATGGATTTAGAGACTGTCATACAGAGTGAAGTAAGTCAGAAAGAGAAAAATAAATATTGTATATTAACGCATATATGTGGAATCTAGAAAAATGGTACAAATGAATTGGTTTGCAGGGCAGAAATTGAGACACAGATATAGAGAACAAACGTATGGACACCAAGGGTCGAAAGCGATGGAGGGAGGTGGTGGTGCTGTGATGAATTGGGAGATTGCGATTGACATGTATACGTTAATATGTATAAAATGGATAACTAATAAGAACCTGCTGTATAAAAAAATAAAATTAAATTAAAAGAAAACCAGTGTTCAGAAATACAAAAACACTTTCGCAAATGCTTTTAGTTTTGGTAATTGCCCCAAACTGTAAAGAACCAACGTGACCCTCGAGTGGGAATGGAGTCTCAAACTGCTTCCTCCAGATAATGGAAACCTAGTCAGCAAACCAACGGAACAAGCTCCCCGGGCTCGCAACTACATGGGTGACCTCCACTGTGCGTGCCAAGTGAAGGAAGCCAGGCCAAAGGCCTCCATTCGGTGTGATTCCATTTGCGTCACATCAGTTCTGGAGAAGGCAGAACTATAGCGTCAGAGGAGAGAGCAGTGGTTGCCTGTGCCGAATGCGGGGTGGGGGGGTGACAACAAAGGGAGTCTGAGAGAATTTGACTGGGGGCGGGGTGGTAGTGATGGAACTGTTTCGTCTTTTAATTGTGGTCGTGGTTACACAGCGCTTTGCATTTGTCAAACCTTACAGGACGTTCATTAAAACCAGTGAATTTCAGTGTGTATGAAGTTTTTCAATGTTTTAGTAAAAAGGGTGTATATTAAAAAAATCATTCATAAACATACCATCATTAGTAATAACATTTTGGTGTGTACTTTTTTGTGTTTATACAAAAAATGAGATCAAACTTTTGCAGCTTATTCACTTAAAGCATATATTGGACAACTTTCCGTATCATTAAACATAAATCAACTCCTCCATTTTCAAGGTTCCATGGCACTCCACTCATAAATGTACCATGGTTTATTTATCCCCATAGTTGGGCAAATAGGTTGCTTTCCATTATCTACTATTTCCATTATTTATTATCACAAAAATGTTGCAATGAACAAACCTTCGTGCAAACCTACTGCTCTTTTTGTGGAGAAAATGCATAAAGATGGAACAGTGGGCTTAGCTCTACGTTGACAAACTGCTGTCCAGAAAGGCTGCCACACTGCCACCCACCAGTTCTATGTGAGACAAAAATTCCACCGCTTTAATTTGTATTATCTGATCGCTAGTAATTTTTCTTTTTTTGTATGTATGGCTGTTAACTATTTGATATTCTTTTCCGAACTCTTTATGTCCTTTGCCCCACTCTATCTTGGGATGTTCATCTTCTATTTCCTTATGGATTTGTAAACATCCCTTAAATGTTAGTGATAGTAACTCTACGATCTTGATCAGGCCTAGCAATGACTTACTCTATGCTTTTTGTCTTCAGTATCATGTTTACAAAAGCTTTCTCTACTATTTTAGCCTGCATTTTATGGTTGCAAAAGACAGAAGCTCATGCAGAACCTCCACAGAAAGGAGGTGGGATGGGGAGGGGGGTAATTGTTAGAGTGGATGTAGGTGACATGAAAATCCGGGAAGCCCAGGAAGCCTAAAGCACTGGTCTCCAGACTCAGGAGCACACGCCACATTGGAGTGTGGGAAGAAAACATCAGCCCTTCTACTTGAGTACATATACGTTTATAGTTTTTATAGGAAACTGGAACAAACGTACATAAGATGTACAAAAATACGTGTTCAGTTTATAGGATAATAAAACAAATACTCAGGTATCCATCACCTGGGCTAATAATACCATTAATTTGTTATCTCATCCTTTCAGATGTCTGCTTTTTCCCTCACATGCTACCCCTGACAACCACTTGCCAAATGTTTGTGCAGTAATACATGTAGATGTGCAAGTAAGTAAATATGCGTGCGCTGGAGGAGGCGTGTCAAGTTGTTGACTCTGAGGCCCCACTTGTCTCTGCCCGCCAGCTTCTTGCTCTACCCACAGACCTCCTCTTCTGAGTGGTTTGCACCCGGCTCGTGGTGGCTGCGCTGGCCCGGCTCCGGCCCCTCCTCGTCATGACCTTCTTGCTTCATTCAGCTCCTGTTGCTCATCGAAACAGCCTTCTTCTGTCCATGCTCCAGAGCTGGCTGGGACCAGGCCAGCTGTGAACTGGCAGGCTCCGGGCTGCGGAGGGTTTGACCGTGTGGTGCAGTAGACTGCACTGCCCACCAGAGACCCGCGTGAGTGGGCTGCTGCCCTCCGGTGTGTTCATTTTAAAGGAGGATGTAGCATTAGAATCTCTGTCTTCATTTCGTTAAGTTCATTAAGTTCCAGTATTAATTTTTAGTAATCACCACCAGTACAATATACTACCTTTGTTACGCAGTCAAGTTTTGTAAGCCATGTATCTGTTTCCATACTTTCATTTGTGACTTGATCCACCTGTTGAACGCTAGGTAAGCACTACATTTTAACAAATCATTATGGCTTTGTAATATATTTTAGTAACAGTAAGACAAGTCTTTTCTCCTTGCTATTATTTTTACTGTCTTCCCTTACTTTCCTGTATCTTTCCTTGAACTATTTTGCACATTTATTTTTCCAGATTAATTTCAGAATCTTTTTTGTTGAGCTCCCAAAAAACACCCCTGCAAATTTTTAAAGTTTATTGAGGTGTGTATGTATAAACTAAATTATACCCTTCATGCCTGTCCCTGTTAAGGGTGGAAGTTGATTCTCTCAGAGCTCCGTAGCCCCACTCTCTTCTGTAACTGAGAGCCTTTCCGGCGTCTGAGCTGACCAGGAGACGGGCAGCTTTAGCCTCCCTCAGCTTCACTTAATTACATCGGCTGTCCTCATCAGCCTGACTGCGCAAGGGCAGGATGGGAGCCAAATGGTCCTCAGTCTGGTTTCAATTCAGTATTTGAAAATGCTCAAATGGAAATACTGCATTTAGCCTCGATAAAGCCTCATAGGCTAACCAAACAGCCTATTTCTCCTTTTTGCTGGAATTACAGCAACTCAGTGGAGAAACCCTTGGTATCCTATGCTGAACAGAAGTTCTGATAGGAAATGATATATGTCTTTGATTAAAAATTTTAAATGGAGTGATCAAATAATTACCAGAAAATGGAATTTGTTTACTTGAGAGATGCTTTCAAATTATGTGTTTCAAGGAAGCAAAATTAATTAAAGAGCTTCCTGGTCAGGGGAAGATGAATTACTTCATTATTCTTAACTTTTTCTCTTCTCTATTGGGAGAAAATTAGTAGGCTCCGCGGTATTGGGGGCGGGGGGGGAAGCCAATGTGCTGCAGAGCAGTGGTCCTCAAACCTTAATGTGCATAAAAATCACGTGGGGATCTTGTTAAACTACAGATTCTGACTCAGGACACCTGGATGGAGCCTGATTCTGCGTTTCTAGTCAGCTCTCAGGTGATCCTGCTGGTCCAGGGACTGCTTCTGGGCATCAAGGCTGTAGAGGGAGTTCTAGGGTTAGCTTTGCTGCAGACTTGCAGACAGGTCCCCCTCGGCCCTTCCTCTCCTACACAGCGAGGACGTACGGGATGGTCTCTGCCACGTCTGATACCGTGATGACACAACCACCTCAAGGTCATCCGAGAGACCTCAGCACCCAGCAGATGCAGAGCCCAAGGCTCTCGAGACTGGGAGGCTCTCGTACCACCTACAGTTCAGCTTGGCCCCGTACCTCTGCATCATCCCAGTGGAGACTGGATAGGGGGCCCCCAGCTGAGGACCACCCCCTCAAGCAGTACTTCACACGGCTCATGTGTAAGGGCAGCGCCTAGGCTTGGTCCACAGAAAGGGACTCGGCGGGCACACGAGTCACCAGCCCCGCAGCTGAAACTGACCCAGTGCTGCTACCTGCAGCCCGAGGGGAAACTGCCTGCCCTCCCCTGCAGTTCGTTCCCCGCTCGGCGTCCTGGGCCCCAGAAAGCGCCCCCATGGCCACTGAGCAAACTGCTCTGCCTCTCTGAGCCCGCCCGTTGGCTCCACCCTCCAGCTCCAGTCACCGGAGCTGCTGAGTGGGGCTGAGGAACCCTCGTCTGGCCGCCTGCATGACCCCCGGCCCCATCCCGCCTCTGCTCCGTCAGAGCTCTCCGAGAGGCTCCTTCAGCCGGCTCTCACCTGCAACCTGGAGGAGCTGGTACCGCGCCTCCCTGTGTCCGAGCTGCAGTGAATCGCTGCGCGATGGCCGATACCTTCTCCACATCGCACTGTTTTCTTTCAAGTGCCCTTCGTGGGAACTCTCCTTCCCCTCCTCAGTTGTTTTCTTTTTTTTTTGAGTTATAGATTACAGACAATCAAATGCAAACACCCGAAGTTTATACTTAACACCTCCTGAGCTACGCAAGTCACCACCCAGATCCAGCCACAGAGCGTCTCCACGGCTCCGGAAGGACGCCTGCGCGTCTCATAGTAACCGCCCACCTCCTGCCGCAGGTGAGCACTGTTCTCACAGCATCTCATCTCATCCTCAGTTATCCCTGTTCTACAAATAAAAAATCCAAGACAAGTGAGTTGGTCTTTCTAACCTGGTCCTGTACCAGAGCAGGACCCTGTGGGGCTTTCCCAGAACAGACCCTCTCCCCCACACCCAGATCCTCCACCAGCCTCTCGCCCGCAGGAGAGTTTTAGCCTCCTAGGCTTTCCCTGAGTTCCAAAGAGAAAAATTAATCAGAGAAGAAAATACAGACGAAAGGAAAAGAGTCCTGTAAGACAAAATAAGAAGGGTTTAGCTATTAAAGTCAGGGACCTTTAGTTCCCCCTCAAGGGCTGTGGATAATATTCGGAGCCATTTCCTTTGAGCTGCTTTGCAGATACTGAAACTCCCACCAGGTGGAAGAAGTTGACCGCATGCTGATCACAAGCAGGTAGACTTCAGACCAGCTGGAACCAGGTTGACAGTGTTGACTCTTGATTACCTCGCCACTGACCAATCAGAAGAGTGTCCACGAGCTGATCACGCACCCCACAACGCCCCTCCCTCACCCTGTCTTTAGAAACCTTTCCCTGAAAGCTGTCGGGGGAGTTTGGGCCTTTCTAGCACTAGCTACCTGGACACCTTGCTCGGTGCCCTGTGATAAATGCTGCACTTCACCCACACCCTGTGTCAGTGCATGGGCTTTACTGCGTGTGGGCTAGTGGACCCAAGTTTGGTTGGGTAAGAGGCCGACCTGAGTACTGCCTCCCCCATGAGTGGGAGTGGTAACCCCTGTGTCCTCCTTGACTGGGTGCAAACACAGTGACATATGCAACCCGGACAGGACACCCCTCCATGATGAGGTGTTGCAGCTCCCTGAAAGCAAAGGACCCAATTTATAAACTTGACTTTTCACTGACGGCATATTCAGTGATATTAAGCAAAAATAGATATTTTTTGGTGTGATAATGAGATTTTTTTTTTTTTTTGCGGTATGCGGGCCTCTCACTGTTGTGGCCTCTCCCATTGCGGAGCACAGGCTCCGGACGCACAGGCCCAGCGGCCATGGCTCACGGGCCCAGCCGCTCCGCGGCATGTAGGATCCTCCAGGACCGGGGCATGAACCCGTGTCCCCTGCATCAGCAGGCGGACTCTCAACCACTGTGCCACCAGGGAAGCCTGATTGTGGTTATTTTTAAGACTGAGTTGGTATCTTCTATAGATGTGCACACATGTGGGACTGGATGGGGTGGGAATGGGTGGAGATGTAGAAGAAAAAGGTCAGCCGCGTTAAGAGTTACTGAAGCTTGGTGATGGGTGTATCAAGTTCACTAAACTAGGCCACTCTTTGAGTATGTTTAAAATTTCCCACAATAAAAAGGAAACTCAAGTTTTCCTTCAATTAAATATCCACAGAGATGTTCTCCTGAAGTATGACACAGAGTGAGTGACTTTTAAGACCCCCTAGGAGGGGCAACATTAGCGCCCTCAGACTCCTAACGTGAATCAAAGCAACGGTCACGGTGGGCGCCTGGCGGACGGATCAGATGAAGCTCTGCCCTCGGCCCTTCCAGGGCCTCACCGACACTCAAAATAGAGCCAGAGTCCCTGCCATGGACTCCAGCGCCCAATGAATGTGGCTTCCGGCCCCTTCTCCAGCCTCCTGCCCTCCCTGATTCAACAGCCACTGTCACGCTGGGCTCCTTGCTCTTCTTGAGTGTCCCATGCTCACTCTGGGGTCAGGGGCTTCCCCCCAGGTACTCACATGGCTCACTCCCAGTTTCCAAATGGTCACCTCCTGAAAGAGTCCTTCCATGACCAGTCACACTAATTCCCATCCTCGTTACTCTCCAAGCCCTTACCTTCTTTTATTTTTCTTCCCCACTGTACGATTATCTGACCCCACTTTATGCATTTATCTGTTGATGGTCTGTCTGCCATACTAAAGACGAGCTCCCCCAGCTAGGAGGCTTCCCTCCTGTCTCCCAGCACAGAGAACAGTCCTGGCACGTGGCAGACGCGCGATAAATACTGAAGGAACAGACCAACAGGCTGCTGAGCACAGCTGGGTGTCCTGGGGCCAGAGGGGGAGAAATGCTCGCTCATGACCTGTTGTTGGACCCTCGAAGGCAAGTAAGCGCCACCCTGTGAGCCGAGCACAGGCACAGATGGCACAGAATTAAACCAACTTGGCCTGGACTGGCAGAAACTAGGCCCCAGGAAAATCTGAGCAGCCAGACACAGCAACTGGCCCCTTGGGTCAAAGTGGGAGTGACACTCCATTGTTAAAGCCAGAAATCCTCGATAGGAACAGTCACAATCTGACGGAGCAGCTGCACCTGTGGTCGAAGCCCTCGCTGCAGCCAGCAGCCCTCCAACAACCCGCTGTCCTGAGCATCACATTCTAGAACGTGGAGGACTGCCCTCCTCCTTGGAAGACCGAGAGCTGCTTGAAGACTAACAGGCCCCTGCGCCCACCCCACTCCTGAGGAAGAAGCTGCTCTGACCGTGTCCTCATGCCCTGCTGTTCCTGTCAGAACCAAACGCCCCAAAACTTCTGGTTTCAACCTGATGGTTTTTCCCAGAAACTTTTTTTTCTATATTTGAATACCATTTAAGAAAACAGGTGTGAAGAGTTCATTAAGGTAATGTGACCAAACAGCTCCAGGCTCAGGTATGTATGGGGTGGGGGTGGGGGACAGGAGATGGGGGAGTTCCAGGAATTAGGATACTGCAAGGCAGACTCCAGTGTGGGGAGCAGGGGGGTGGAGGCAGGGTAGAAAACACTTATCATCAAACCCACTTGCTGACACCACCTGTTAAGCATGCCTCAAATCGCTGCCCTCATCAGGACCAAAAATAACATCAGTCATCACTTCCTGAGCATGTGCTGGTGTTCCACACAGCTTCTCTAACCCTCACAGCGACCTTACCACACCAGTGCTATTATATCCCCAGGTGACAGGTAAGAAAAGTAAGGCTGCGAGAGGTTACCTTAGCATCGTCAGGATGGAAACCAGGCTGGTTTCAGGGCAATGAGCTCCTGAAGAGTAACGCACGATGAACGGACAGGCTGCGTGCAGGCGCTGCACACCGGCCACCCCTGCAGGGGAGGAGCCCGAGTCCGGCCAGCTCTGAGGGTTACTGGCCGTGTGGTCCCCAATTCCACGTCACCATTCCCAGAGAACGAAGTCTCTCCACCAACACACCTGAAATGATGCCATCGATCAACAATGGTGAAGGGACAACTGAAGTTTGCCCTGAAAGCTGTTTTTTTCTTCTAGTGAATCCACTACCTAACCTTGGCAAGAGGGGGCTATTTCGGGCTACCTTCAAGTTCAATAATATAATTATACAAAATATAACAAAAATAACAGCTACATAAAAACTGAGCAGCATTGAGCTAGTTTAACAAGTGTTCATAACTGGAGCCTGAGAACACAGCCTGCGTGGGTCCTTAATACTCTGGAATGATACCCACCCAACAGTAAACAGCAGTTGCCTATGAGGAAGGTGGGGCAGTGCTGGTTACAGAGGCTTGAGCTTGACCTGCCATGTCTAATTTTTTAAAGGAACACACTGGTGGATTTCCACAATAAAAGATTGATGTTGAAGATCCAAAGGAAATGCATGCAAATAGTTTCCTGGTGGTGGAACAATGGTGGTTTAAAAATTTCTTCAACTTTTCTGTATATTCCAAATTTTTATGTTATAATCATGGAAAGACAAACTTTAAAGTACATTCTTAAATGAATAGAAAATACCTAAGTTCTAAAGAGGGTATGAAGGAACACGTGGCCAGAGGTTATTAATTGTACCTCATTAATAAATAGGAATAACCACCCGTATCTTTACAGAGTAATGTAACTCAGAACTACGAGTAAAATGTATCAGCTAAATGGATGAAAAATGCTTGTGTGTGACTGCTCTTTGAAAGGGTAGCTCTCTCTCACACACACACAATTTAAATTGTGCTATATGCAAAATAAAACACTTCTTTAGAGCACTATTGGTGATTTGAAAATTTTAATTTCTTTTAACCTTGTATTTAAAAACAATGAGATATTTTACAGTCTCTCATGCAGATGCATTCACAATTTCAAATCATTTACTGGGTTCACATTAGCTGTCCAACCCACACAGGCTTTCTACCGGTATTCAGTGAGTCTCAGCTCTTACACCTGAGCTATTAGCTACCTCACGGACAGCCAGATGCAGAAAGTACTTCCGGGCCTGCTGCATGGACAGCAGTCTTATAATTTTCAAATAAATGCCATTTCTTCGAATATTAATTCCACTGAAGAGTCCAGCAAAAACACCATAGCCCATCCAGGTCAAGGTCTGCAAGTGGCACTTTGCTGAGAGGCAGCCTTGATTTTAATTTCCCGAGATTCACAATGGAAAGGCTGCCCCATGGGTGCACAGCGCCCCCGTTCTGTCTGGGTTCACAAGGTCCCCATGAGTGCCCCACAGCACTGGGACAGGCAGGGACCTGACTAGAAATTGGGACCCAAGTTCTAATCTAGATTCAGGAGTGAAGCCAGCACCTTAATCTCTGGGATTGTCCGCTCATGAGTAGAGAGATTTGGATTGTCATCTCTGAGGTGCCTTTCCCTGCTTCTAAGCCTCTAAACTTGACACTGGAATGAAGAGCAAATAAAAGTTTCTTCAAAAGCTTCTGTTCCTTTTCTGGATCATGACATAAGCTCTAACCTGCAACAGCTGAGAACGAAGACTGAATTTTCTCCAGCACAAGCTGCTGCCAAGTGATCCACACAAATGTTCTGTGGCTTAAAACAGACCATCTTTTCAAAGGTCTGGCATTTTAGATACTTAAGATCTTTGTTACATGAGAGTGGTCTTTTATTAAGTTCCTCACGTTCTTGACAAGGTTCCTGGGAAAGTCATTCCAAACCAACTACTCCTGAGTTGAAGTTTATATAAACTAAATCTTGGTATTTTTTTAGTAAGGGAAGCTTAAAGGAGAATGGCACTGTATGAGTTCACTAGGGCGCTTTCACAAAGTACCACAGCACCGGGGCTTGAACCACAGATGTTTATTGTCTCAGCAGTTCTGGCGGCTAGAAGTCCCAGATCAATGGGTCGGCAGGGCTTGTTTCTGGAGGCCTCTCTGTGTCTTCACGTGGTCTCCTCTCTGCCTGTGTCCCAATATCTTCTCATAAGAACACCAGGCATGTTGGATGAGGGCCTTCCCTAAAGGCCTCATTTTAACTTCATCACCCTTTTAGAGACTGCCTCCATTGGGTTAGGACTTCAACGAACATGTGCATCTGCGGGAAAGTTCAGCCCATAACCACTACAGAGTTTATGACTTTTCTTTTTCACATTCCTTGACATAAATATCTATAGTAGGTTTTAACATTAAGTATTGAGAATTTAAAAACCAAAAGACAGCGCCATGTCACGTGCACAGAGCACAGAACTGATGTGCAAGGAAAGCCCGTGTCTGATGAGGCGCCACACCTGTTACGGTTTGTTGAGACTTTCAGAGGCTTTGCAGCAGCTTCAGGTGGAGAATGGTGATAAACGGTCAAGTCCAGACAGCAGGGAAGTTTTGAGTAGTTTTTGTTTCAGAAACAAAAGCCAGCATCTTCCTGAATGGCTGTCTGCCTAGCACTTTGTGGATGGATACACCAGAAGATGACGCACCTAACTCACCCAGATGCAAACCTGCCCCCCTCCACCCTCAAAACCGTCTCTCGAGGCCCCAGTCCCCCAGCCACCGCATCAGAGGCACCTGGGGTGGCAGGTGTGAACGCAGGTCTTTGCATCCTTCCTCAGCTCAGTGAACCCAGCCCTGGGCCCAGGAACCTGCACTTTAACAAGCACCCACCTACCTGCCTCCTAGAGTCTGGGGGTCTCAGCCCAGAGAGCTATAAGCTGCCATCTCTGCACCCACAAGAAAGGCCACGGTTGTCCAAGCTGCAAAAGCACACCTTTATTTCAGACAAGTGCAATCCGG